TCTCTCTCTCTCTGTGTGTGGCTATCTCTCTCGCGTCCAGCAGGAGATAATGATTGTTTGAGCAATCCATACCATCGCTTCTGAAAGGAAGAAACAGAGAAATGTTTATATTGTTTGCCATCCAAGTGTGTCTTTCCTTTTGCACTCATACTTTTGATAGCAGACTAAGCTGTGGTGAGCAACCATGTATGATCATATAAGAAGGCACATATTTGAGAGTATACCAAGGTGGGTGCCATCAGGGCAAGAACAAACAAACACCCACAATTGAATAGTGTGGACAATGCCAGTGCAACATGTTAGACGGCGCTGGCACACACACACACACACACACACACACACACACACACACACACACACACACACACACAGAGCTCGCCGCTCGGCAAACACCATCAGACAGCACAGAAATCTGTGTGCTACATTGCTATATATATCTCCTTCTCCCGCTTGACAATTCCCCAAGTATGGAAATCTCCTGATTCTCCTCTGCCCCTCTTCAACCCAAAACTTCGGATTCACATAACAATCCTTTTCTGAGAGATCCGTTCCCCTGTTTGCTTTAACCCCCTTAATTTTCCTTCTTGTTGCTACATCTGCATGTGTGTCTCGACCTCCTCACAATCCACCCCCTGCCCACAAGACCCGTTTAGGATGGCACATCATGTCTTTGTGTACAAGTGTGTGTGTGTGTGTGTGAGAGACAGCACCTAGCGGAAAATAACATAAGAGAACTGAAGAGACAGCACAAGAAACTTGACTGCATTCAGGACACATTGCTCCTTTCTGACCTCTCTCTCTCTCTCTCTCTCTCTCTCTCACAGCCCCCTCTTTTGCGCATGTGCTTGTGACTATGTTGGGAGAGCAAGCAACCATTTAGGATCATAGGGAAGGGGGGGAAAGGCTTTTGCTTGATGTATGCACCGGATCTCCTCTTGAAGCACAAAACTGTTGTTCGGTGATCTGTTTCTTCTGCTCCACAAATCCCCAAGCAAGTATGACACACCTCCCTCTCCCAATTTCACTGCCTGTGATTCATCTCAACAATCCCTTCTCCAAGACATTGCCTTTGCTCTGAACCCTTCATCTTGCAATTCGCTTTCCTTCCCGTGTCTACATCTGCCAGTGCAGGTTTGTCTTTACCTCCCCACTTTTCTGCCATCGTCTGCCCGAGCCCTCGTCGCAGCTGATGTATAGTGATGCCCTATCGTCTCGTGCTTCCTATCATGAGCAAGAGAGAGAGAGAGAGAGAGCCTCCTATCATGAGCAAGAGAGAGAGAGAGAGAGCCTCCTATCATGAGCAAGAGAGAGAGAGAGAGAGAGA